GGGGGTATGAGGCACCAAGGCAAAAAAGGGAGATACTATGCCACCATTCAACTTGAGGCCTTTTTTTTCAAGTGCCCGTCGGTTGCATTTGTCACGTCCTCCTTTCATGTCACCATTCGCCACCTGCTCCTGAAATTCCTGAACATTTTCTGAAACCTTCCAGCGTCCTGCTTCATTTTCTCTGCCTCCCTCCCTTTCGCTGGCCCCATCCACTCTGTTCCACAACTGAAAGGAAACCAAAGAAACATTGCTCCTCTAACTCTCTTTCACAGACTCAGCCCACTGTCTTACACCCCCCAAGTTCATGTTCTTCTGTTCTGCATTTGGAATAAGTCTCCCCCTCGCTCTCTCACTCACACACACACAATATCTGAGAAAGATGATGTATAATTTTAAGGATCAAACAAATAATAAAGAGACACCTGGCTCTACTGCCACTCATGGACATGAGACCACAATATGAAAACGTTAAAGGGATAATTCACCCAAAAATTAACATTCTGGCATCATTTACTCACCCTCATGCTGATCAAAACCTGTGTGACTGACTTTCATTGGAAGATAAAAATATCAAATTTAAATGAGAAATGAAAGTCAGTGGGATCCAGTGTTGCTTCAAACCTGAAATATCTTCTTTCGTACAGGTTTGGAATGACAGAGGATGAGTAATTGATGACAGAATTTAAATCTTTGGATGATACAATTTCTTGAACATAATATATAGTGGCACCAAAAGTATTTAGAAAAATGAATCATTTATTCCATATTGATTGACTTTTTTCTAGATAAGAAAATATTTGAATGAAAAATGTGTTTTATCCAAACAACCGCAAAATATCTTCTTTTATATAGGTTTTGAATGACAGACTATGAGTAAATGATGATACCTTTAATTTTTTTGGATTATTTCTTTAACATGCAATGTCTCTAAAAACAGGGTTCCTACACATTTTCCATTTCAAAATTCCATACTTCTCTAGACTCAAATTTCCAAGATTTTCAGACCATATTTAACATAAATGGTTCATACAACACTATTTTCAGCTTTATATTTGGTATATATCAGTCATCTGTAACTATTTTTATTTGTTCATGGTATTTTACATTGATTTTCTCTAAGTGACTTTTGCATGCACACAAATAACTTTGTGTATTTGTATTTATTTATTTATCTGTATTTTGCAACACTGTAATCTTTAGAAATTTTGCATAATTAAAAAGTGCACCTTGAATTCATTCAGTCGTGTTTCACAATCAATTAAGAATCACTAAACAGCTGCCATGAAAACACTTCTATAATAAACTTATTTTCATTATATTCTTAATTTTATATTATAACTAAAATTAAATGGGGGCAAAAGTCTGGAAATGCAAATATTTTTCCATACTCTGCTTTCTTTTTTTCCATACTTTCCAAGACCTGGAAATTACTTAAATCAAATTCCATACTTTTCCAAACCGCGTAGGAACCCTGTAAAAAGTATCTTGAAACTTGAACCACAATTAAAAATGAATTAGAGTCCTTCATTGTATAGATTGCCAAAATATCAAACCAAGATGGATTTATTTTAAAGAACATCGTAAGATGTAGATGATAAACCAATAGATCATTTTAACTAATTTCGCTATTTTCTAATAATATTCACTTCCCATTACTGTATAATATATGTAGTTCTGGCTTCCAATTAATGTCTAAACCAAACTTTGTATGACTCCACCAGCACAAAATGACCGATGTAGCGGCTGACTGGAGGTCTTCAGGGAAGAGCAGGGTTTTATCTGTCAGGGCTCAGAAGGTGCCGCCAACAGGCCTAGTGTTTACCTGCTGCTGCCCACAGCGTAGACCAGCTGCCACCTCTAGAAACACCCTCTAATATGCTGCCAACTCCTGTCTGCCTGAATTCTGATCTGCACCTCAGACTTCAAGTGCGAAGGGAGCGGAACAAAACCAGAGTGCGTCGCGCAGCCCCCTGGCCTCTCGCACGGGCCCCACTTCAGCATTGTTGCGGCCACAGCAACTGTCCCCATTCTGGGCCCAGGAGAGGGGAGGAAAACTATCTGTCAGGAGACTCTGCTGACCACCCGTGAAACAGCGCCGAGGAACCTAGGAGAGGAATTTCTTAGGATTCAGGGCTGGTTAGCCAAGACTAACTAGGGGTAAATGGGATTTCTGCAAATGGCAGATGTGTAATGTCAAATCACTAGCTCTCACTCTCTAGCTCCAAATTATTGAATAAAATATCTAATAGATGTATGATGAATTGAAATAAAGGGCAAACAACATGCAACATCAACATAAACAAGTATTAATAAAAAATAATTTGAAAATATTAGTTATTATCATTAGCTATAAAATATAACTAGAAGAATCATAATTTAGACAGCTACACATCAAAATAATGGATGTACATTTATTTTATTCTGAAATGTCTCTTATTATAGACATGGACTTAACAATAAAGCATTTGAAGAGTCATAAACTGTATGTAAAGTGTAAATGTAAAACCTTTATTGTGAAACTGCCTGTGCTGCTTATATCCAGTTTAATACTGATTTTACAAGTCACAATCCTGCAGTACTTTCAGTTTACCAGCAGGCAGTGCCACCTGATGGCAAAAACCTTTCTCCCAATTTCACAAGATGGTGTTCATAGTCATCTTCTTTGTAGAAATCCACACACAGAAGGGTTAAAATTGCTAAAAAAAAATCATCTTGGGAGATGGAATATTCTTATGAAGAAGGTGGCTTTGGCTTGTCTTACATTAACTCATATCACTGCCATTGCTATTTCACCCCTGTTGATCTCACTTTAAAAGCCTCAAACACCTAAGAATATCACTCAAATTCTTCCACTGTGTTTTCTAGAATTCAGTTTAAAGAGCTGTTCCAGAATCCAGACTTACGAGTCCAGTGAGAGTGATAACAGTCCTCTCTTATACACACGGCACGTAAACACCACAAACCCCTTCATCAAGACTGTCTGTCTGCAGAAGATCATCATGGCGTGCTCACAGGAGGCGCTCGGAGTTTGCCATGGCTGCTGTAAGGCTCCTGCCATCTCTCAGAAGGACATTCCTGTTGATCCTCTTATATATTCTTTAAAGTCTGTTGCCACGTTCAGTAAAGAGCACACCTGTAGAGGTGAAATGTGCTAGGCAGGTAGTATTTTGATGATTAAAAGTTAAAATAACCAATTAGAAACAGTCAGCTTGCATTTTAACAAAGAGGTGATGGGGCATGTTTGATGATATTACCTGTCTAAACTTGGCACGCAGCCTTTCCATGTTCTCTTGAAGCTTCTCATGCTTAGGGTCCTCATATGGAAAGTTTTGGATCAATCCAATCAAAGATTCCATAGCTTTCAGCCTTTTTCTAGAAGTAGAGAGAAATTTAGCAGTGCGATAAATGACCTTACTACCTAATAATCTTACTACTACTGATGAAAAGCAGTGTTTGTTATGTGTTAAAGAACATACCTTGCTTTAACATCACTACTGTTTTGAAAGAGACATTTCCATGCAAGGGCAAATCCATAATAAAAAGAAACCTGAAAAACACAACAACAGAATATCAGATGTTTCATGCACTTACATAGTTTAAATAGCTTACTAAAAGTAAATGTGTATAAAACTGTAGGCTATATATGTGACCCTGGACCACAAAACCAGTCTTAAGTTGCACAGGTATATATATCTGTAGCAATAGCCAACAATACATTGTATGGGTCAAAATTATAAAAAGAAAAAAAATTTACGCCAAAAATCATTAGGGTATTTTGTAATGTTACATGATATTTTGTAACTTTCCTACCATAAATATATCAAAACTTAATTTTTGATCAGTAATATGCATTGCTAAGAACTTCATCTGGACAAATTTAAAGGCGATTTTCTCAATATTTAGATTTTTTTTTGCCCCCTCAGATTCCAGAATTCAAACAGTTGTACCTCAGTCAAATACTGTCCTATCCTAACAAACCAGACATCAATGGAAAGCTTTATTCAGCTTTCAGATGACGTATAAATCTTAATTTTAAAAAACTGACCCTTATTACTGGTTTTGTGTTCCAGGTTATTCCTGTACACACTTTTAATTATTTATGTTTCATGTTTCTCAATTATTGTAAAAACAATAACAGACATAGAAAACAAACTAAATCATAACTACAATTTGTAATATAATAGTAGTAGTAGTAATAATAAATGCTGCTTAAAATCTTTTAAATGGATTTATGCATGATGACAATGCTGTCATTCATGTCAACTGCGTGTTCAGACGTGAGGCCCCAGAATTTGGAAGTCATTGTAACAACAGAACAGCAAAAACCTGACACTGCTTTTCCAGAAAGCTACTCCTCACATTATTAAAACAGAATCATTATAAACTCCGGCCATCTGAAAAGATGTGAAACCTGCTGTGAAGACAGTGGTATCGTTCTAATTGAAAGCCAGATTATCTGACAGATTATCCGTCCAGAGCATTTTATTCTTATTTTTTTTATCTTACTTTTTCCATACCTATATTTATATATAATTTTCTTGTGTTTGTATTCTTTAATAATTGCACTGTCCATGGAGCGGACCTGACTTACATTTCTCTGCTGGTCATATATTCTCTATATAACCATGTATGTGAGAAATAAAAATCTTGAATCTACACAAACTGAATCTGGCATATTGTGTGTGTGTGTGTGTGTACTGGTTTATATATCCTGGCTGAGGGTTAGGTTTAGGGGTAGGGTTGGTGTAGGGTGATAGAATATACGGTCTGTACAGTAGAAAAACCATTACGCCTATGGAGAGTCCCCACAAGGATAGCTGACCAGACTCTCTCACTCTCTGTGTGTGTGTGTGTCTGTCTGTGTGTGTTTATGTGTTTT